GTTGAGTGTGAATATCTCTTCATGTACAGCCATGTCAACTAATCTGAAGACCCTGTATTCTGATGCCGTATTGGCTCATTACTAGGGCCCTTGAGCTAACCCCGCTGCGCAGTGTTCAAAAGGTCTGCGCGACCAAATTCAAATGCTACTTCTTCTTTCCCGACGTTAGCACATCTCATGTCCCTGGAACATCTCCGGGTATTAGCGTTTCTGTTTTTGTGAGGTTGTTCTCCGACCGACGCAAAACAACCACGACTGCCACCGCCGAAAGAGTCTCAGATTTGGTCATGAGGAGAGCCATGCGGAGCCTGTGACACAGGCTGAGGAGTTTCCGGGGTCCTTTCAGGTTGAAGCTGGCGCGACATGACCCTGATCTTGGCGCAGCGGTGGCGGCCGTAGGTCATCCGGAACACTGGGCCTGGTGGCCGGGCCAGCAATTTGGGTTGGTTGAAGGTCGGGGCCCAACTAGTGCTGAGTTTCGGGATGTCTTGGGGCACCCTTGGCAGCTTTTGTGCCTGCACGCATGTCTCATGGATGTCATGGAAGAAGGTAACATAGGGGTTATATTATTGGGATAATGGAAAATAAAATGGAAACTACTATATTATATTGGGAATTTATAGGGATAATGGAAAAGAAAATGGAAACTACTATTTAGGGTTTGGGGGCAAAATGATTTCCTAACCCCATAGACTACATTCCCTTGTTCCTTGCCAACCCCCAGTAAGATGATTTTCTCAGGCTGCTGGGCGCTGGCCATGTCACTGGCGTTGGCCGCCGCAGCTCCCGTGCGGTGCAACGGTTTCGTGCCACCTGGCGTCTCAAGCTTCCCTGATCCCAATATAGGGATGATACGGGGTTTCCCAAAATTAGGGGGTACCTTTTGGGGGGGTCCCCATAACAAGCATTATAGTATTTCGGGACTATATGGGGTTGGGTTATATAGGGGATTATATAGGTATAGTACCCCAATAATGGAGACCTAAACGGACAAGTGTTGGGATCATGTAGGGATGGTACCCCAGTACCGGAGAATCAACTGGAAAAGAAAATGGAGGATGAAATAGAAAGTGGGTGTAGGGATGGGGGTTTCCAAAAATTATGGGGTACCTTTTTGGGGGTCCCCATGACAAGGATTGTGGTATTTTGGGGTCTATACTGGGGTCCCCATACCTTCCACATGAAAACCACCTTCATGTAGAGCCAGATGAAGAACCGGCCCCAAAGAATCCCCTAAATAACTAGTCCAAAATATACCCTATGAGTTACGGATAATACGCTCATATATTTCCCTAATTATTATGGACGATACCCTAATCATTGCCCTAATAAACCCTTCTATATTACCTTAATTATTGTGGATAATACCCCTAAAACTGTACAATTCCCCATGGTAATATAAGCCCTATATTGGCATCAGGCAGTGCGCCAGGCTGAGCTTGGCTTCATAGTCTTGGGAGCTTCATAATGTAGATGCGGCGACACAGGGAAGTCGACACACCCGACCCCTCAAAGTGAGATTGCTTGAGAAACGATTCATGATATGCAGGTATTCTGAGAGGTGGGCACCTGGACACTCTTGTTGTTCCAAGTGCACACGGTAATGGTCCTGGTACTGTGGAAGAATTCTGAACGGCGAATGCATGTCGACAGCTGCAGCCCAGCCGCGTGCGATTCCGCACGCGCTTCTCAACAAACGGGAGGTCCTCCACCCAAAATGATTCCCTGGTATTGTGGCTCTGCCTTTGCTACATGTTCATTGTCTTTCACGCTTGTTCTTTAACTTACACGGTGTTGTGCATGGCCTTAGGCAAGCGTGAATCTGTAGGTCCAGGATCATTTGTGGTCGGATTTCTTATTGTGCGAAGCGTTTCGGCCCTGAATAGAGCCAGGGCTGAAGCTCCAAAGCGCAATCATGGATCGCCATGCGCAGCCAGACAGCCTTAACAATCGCTCAGTTGAGGAGCTGTTGGGCAACCTTGAAGCAGTTGTTTTTGCCGACGAGGGCACGGAGAGCGAAAAGTTTTGGCAGGGCTTGCTGTCTGCCAAGGCTTCGCGTAATTTGCTTGGAAGATTGTTGACAGTAGCCGGAGCAACTCTTTTTACTTGTGTTCCCGTTTGTGAAGATGCGCGAAGAGCGGCGCAACTTAGCGATGCTGGCGCCATTCGTGGGTCTGGCGATCGCCGTGGCCATGCAGCGATCCAGCGCCTACAATCAAGCCCACTCATCGAGTCACGACAGCAAGCTGCAGACATGGCTGTGGCAGTGCGTTGGGCGTCCACTGAGAGCCGCAAGTTGGCCGAGCGCTGCGTCAAGACTTGGCTGACTGCGCTTGGGCATGGTGCGCCTGCAAGCCCAGCGAAAGATCACAAAGGGCTGGTGACAGCATGTTTGCATGAGCTGCTGCCTCAAGCCCTCAGTGCAGTCAAAGCTCAACTCCCTGTGCTCAAGGCAAGCTCGAAGACTGGCGCGAGCCTGCCTGCAACGCGATCCATCGCCATTGTACGTAGCATGCACTGGTTGATGCAGCAATGCGACTATTTGGTTTTGAAAGACCGTGTCGTGAACTGTTTCAGTTGTAAGATGTTATAAATTTAAGATTCTGACGTGAGCAAGCAGCAGAGTTGGGGGCATTGCCGCTTTTGAGTTTAGCCGAGGCTTGGGCATGGCATTGCCCCTGCTCCTCCAGGTTTTGGACCACTGCTGTGATTCTGTGGTTCGACTCATCAGCTGGGATGCTCTGCATTTGGTTCTCGACCGGGCTTTGGCCGCGGAAGTGCAAAACTTTCGGCCTCCTTTGCTGCATATCTTTGAGACTTGCTCCCCACTGATGCTGGATGAGGAGGCTACGTGCCTTGCTGTTGCGCCCTTCTGTGCCTCAAGTGTGCTTTTTCTGCTGAAAGCCTATGGCCCTGACGTTGATGTCTCAGACAGAAGCAAACAGCTGGATAGTTTCCTTCGTTTCGGAAGCCTCCACTGCAAGTCGAACTCTCGGGCACTCGCGCTCTTTCTGGAATTCGGACTACTGCCACTCCTGACGCGGGAAGCCTGGCTGGTGGCACCACGTCTTCGCGGAACAGTGGAGCTATTCCTGCAGAGTTGTGAGGGAGGAAATGCATTGGAGGTCTTGCTAGCCTGGCGGGGTCTGCAGCTCCTCTTCTCTGGCGAGCTCAAAGCTCGTGCCAAAAGGCCATCCTCTAACATTGCAGTCTGACAGTAGCAAGCAACCTCCGGTTGCTATCTTGAAGGTACTTTCAGGACATCCTCCTGCGCATGGCCTTCTGCTACTTGACGTTCGTTGCATCCGATCCGCCAGAGGGTTTTGAACCATGCACACCAGGCCAGCAGTCAGCATGCTCAGAATTTTCTGACGAAAGCCCTGGAACCAAAGAGCCATGTATTGCGATGCGCAGGATCACGGTCCGGCTTCATGTCCCCCGTGACCGCAGCCATGACGGCCGCCGAATGGGCAGAGGTGGGCTGCTAAGCGCCAACTTCAAGCAATGTGGCAATGAAAATCCACAACCCCAGACTTTACATACGTGACTTTACAAAGAAGGGTCTACCTAAACCGTCCTAAGCGCAGGTGCCCCAAAGAAGGGACGAATTGGCTGCAGCCCTTCGCGCAGTTGCGAGCCTGTTGGCTGAGGCAGTGGGCCCAGGATCAGCAACAGTTCCCAGTGACCGCCTTTCTATCATAGAATCCTGCAAGTGTGTGTGCCAACCATGATACCTTTTTTGGATGGCAATAAGAGAATTCTCCTTGTTACTGCCAATCATGGAATAGTCACAATGAACGTATTACCGGCTGAGTGGAGATTGCCGTCTCTCAGGCGGATGAGCCGGACGGCGATCTGCTGACCAGGTGGGATGGACCAATCGTGATAGGATGCCACGAGCTATTCTCACCACTTATCTAAGGTTAGAAGTATGGGCCCCTAATATGGGCCCTTACGCCCTTTAGGGGGATTCAACCTTAGCCTTAGAACCTAGAATCTCTCAGGTGTACGCTGATCTAATACGGCCGAAGGGGTTAGGTTCCCAGAAGCCCGGTCAAACCTTGTGGAACTACAAGGGTGTTACTGAATCGTGGATGCTTCCCCATGCCTTCTGGCGCATTTGGACTGCCAATAACATCTCTGGGACATTCAGGCAGGCCCTGCCCCTAAACTTGATGCAATCAAACGGTTCACTGAAAAAGATTAATTCTCTGCCTCCATCAATGATAACTGGCATAATCCCCCCACCACTCTCTAATCCACATGTTTCCCCCCGACAGGCAATGATACCATGTTGCAGGTTTCTTATTAAGTGGGCGGTGAGGTGTGTATTATTAAGGGGTTACCTAGCAACCAGCTGCAACTGCCACTGGGTGCCATCTCCCTCGCTTCGTCCGCAGATAGCCAAGGATCTAAGGAAGATTCAGATGGGTAGTTTCCCCCATGTGAGCCTTACAGAGCCCTTCGATAATCCTCGTGTTTTCGAAATAAGCCTGAACTAGGCCTTTTGCAAGGGCAGCCACCTGGTATCTACCCGCCTGAAAACTCCTTGCAAAGGAGTCAAGGCTTACTAATTCATAGTAGGGAAGAAGGGCATATAATCCCTGTATAACACATTCCCTTGTTCCCTACTGAACCCCAGTAAGCAAGGAGCCTGGCCGAGCTCAGTTCCACCGCAGCATTGCCTGCATCAACGGCAGAAGCTGAAGCCTTGTCCTGTCAAGTCAAGGACCCATGGGGTCATATGGGTTATGGGTTCTCCCAAAATTAGGGGTACTGTTTGGGGGTTCTCCATAATGAGGATTATAGCATTTTGGGGTCCATACCGGCATTGCCCAATGTTTAGGGAACCTACCATGTACATATTGGCTGTAGGATTTTATAGGGACAATGGAAAAGAAAATTGAAGCTACTACTACTTAGTAGGGTATATATTGGGGTTATAACCCCAGCTTGCTTCCATGTCATGTGCCACTTTCCATGTGAGTCTGCATAATTAGGGTAGCATCCCCTCATACAATCCCCACATAATTCCTATGTCTATGGACATATAAATCCAACAACGCAAGAGTTCGTACCTCTAAGTCTCTCCAGAGGACTTCATTCGCTTCATCAAAGATGCCACGGAGTGTCCGCAGCATGCAAAAGAAGCAAAACGGGTGTGAACACAAGAGCTACAACAGCAGGGTTTGTGCTGCGGAGTTGGGCGTTTTTGACGCCTTTGCCATTCATTAAGGAACTTGGCCACCCTAACTGGCTTGGGCCCTGAAGCATACGTCAATTAGATGTCGGGTGAAATTGCCAGGGTTACTACAGGCCACGCTGACTTTACTAACGCGTCTGTATGCTAAGGCACTGCAAGACTTCCAGGAGGGCTGCTCCGTGGACGGCGTCATCTTTGCCTCGGTTGCAGCTGGGCATGGCAGCAGCGGCGGCCCACTGCTAAACTCCCGTGGCGTTTTCTGGGCAAGCACTTAGCAAAGAAGTGGTTCAGTAGCTATTCCAATATAACCCCAATAAACTATAGTAGTTTCCATTTTCTCTTCCATTATCCATATATAACCCCTATATAATTGTATTGGAACTGATGGCTTTCAGGCTGTCACTGGCGTGATCACCTGGCAGTTTTCGGGCTCACAGCCCGTTGTCATTGCTGCCATCAGTCCCGTTGTGGTACGGCAGGCCATAAGATGGGGCTGTGAAAGAGTCGTAGGAACAGGCATTTGATGGCATTTGCTGAGTGATGGTCCGACATCATGCCACCAGGTTGTGCCGCAGCTCATCTCCCGGGGTCGTTGCAGTTTGCCCCGCACAGGCACAAGTTGCTGAAGTTGCAAAATCCAGATGCGTTCCTTCGTCACTTGTGTTCAAAATTCTGCTGGTAGCATGGCCGCTGGGATGCAGGCATTGAAGACTGTATGGGGCCGGCCCGGATCACGCTTCCAAACTTGCAGCAGAATGCCTACCTCGGGCTGAAAGCTGAGGGCGTGAGGCAGCCAGACAGATTTCATTGCTGACCCTGCTATCGCATCCCATTTTTTGTTGAGAGGCTGTGGGGCCTTCCGGCCCGCGCAGCACGCCGCTCTGGCCTTCGCTGGCTACACGGGCTGAAGAAGATTGTCTAGTGCACAATGATATGTCGAATTTGAGCATAGGCATCAACAAATTGATGAGCATCATCAATGAATTCAGTAAGCATCAACAAGTTTGCAAAATTGGCTAAGACAAAAACTACCAGGCTGTTCCGATCCCCGGGTCCTGTGGTTTTGTCATCCTGTACTCAATCTTGCACGACTTAGGAACCCCAGAATACTTGCACCACTTGGGAACCCCAGAATACTGAGGCAAAATGGGAAAATGGAAGCTACTATAGTATATTGGGCTTATATAGGGATAATGGAAAAGAAAAATTGAAACAACTCTAGTACATTGGGGTTATCTAGGGATAACGGAAAATGAAATGGAAACACCTATAAAAGTAGCATTCATTGCAAGTGTGTGCTGCTCTTAGGAGCTCCAAGAATCATAGGTGTCACGGCGACCATAGTCATTGTATTGGTCATGGTAGCTAGAGTAACTTTGTAGTAGCAAAAAGGAACACGTAATTTCAGGACTGATATTTTGAGTATTGACAGTACTATGATTTCTAGAAAATCTAAGAACATGAAGCGCACAAATGACATGAAGAAGAGCAATGGTACTAGTATTACTAGCAATACTAATCATTTGAGTTTGTTGTTTGTTGGTGTACTGTTTTTTTTTTTGCAGGGTTTGAACGGCAAGGAAGCAAGGAAAAAGGAAGCAAACAAGGAGCAAGGAAGCAGGAAGGAGGGTACGCAATCTTAATCAGCAGCTGCGACATTATTCAATGGTTTGCATATTGGGGAAGACCACCTGCTTTTTTTACACATACTCCCTTATTCCCGCAGTGGTTTGCTTGGGGGGGCTGCCCTCTCAACCCCGCACGTTTAAGACATGTGCCCATATCAAAGCCGTATCACAATGGTTCTCAAACGGGGGGGGGGGGTGGCGGGGGCCTGCACCCTCTTCCGCCTCGCACCCAAACTTTTTGTTTAACATGATCCCGCATTATGTCTGATCACAATTATATTCGCAAGTGACCTGTTGGAATTCGCGGCAGTTCTGCACGTCGCAGATATGAGCTTCCAAAAGCGATGACAGCTCTGCACTTGGCTACCTTGAGGCTCCAAAAGCGAGACAGTTCGGCAATTGACCCCCACGATGACAGTTCGGCATTTGACCACAGTGAGGACCCAAAGCGATGGCAGTTCAGCACTTGACCACCACGAGGCCCCAAAAGCGATGACAGTCTTGCACTTGCAGATGTGGGGTTCCAGAAGCCAGAACAATTCTGCACTTGGCCACCGCGAGGCTCCAAAAGGACAGGTCTGTAGTTTCGGCTCATTTTTTTGATCTTAGTCAACTCATTTTTGATGTCGGTATTTTTGATGCTTAAAAATTTCATACTTCAGCCCGCCAAAATGTGACTTTTCCCAGTTGTGCCGAAACATGCAGTTTTGGCTGCTTGGTTGACCGCGCGATAAGGTTGGATGAAATTATAGCTGTCGGGGAAAACCAGACCGTTCACTCCGTTGCAGATGTGCTCCATGCCATACAGGCAGGAAGTACGTGTGAATGCGGTTGAGGGAGAGCCGGCGCAAAGCATACTTCCATCCCGACTGCTTGCCTCAAGTTTACCTCTTTCGAAGCGTGGGCGAAGGCACAGCCAGGCTCAACAATACCCATCCGCTTCCGTCGCTTTGGCACTGAGCGCAACGCCGAGCTTGCATCCGCCTCAGCACTGGCAGGGCAGCATTGCAGTCTTCGTAATGTCATTCTCTCGGAGGCACGCAATCTACCACAGCCAAAATTTGCAACAGCTGTGCGCCGCGTGGTTGGAGTGGCAGCCCGCGCGGTGGTTGTGCTCAGGCACATGAGTTGAACCATGGTGGCCTATAGGCAACTGCGCATGCTCCTTCTGGACAGAACATGTGCTGGTATGCGACCGTGAATTGGTCTGCTGGCATTCATCCAAGCTTGCGTGTTCAGGGTTCTCCGCAACTACAAGCGGCTGCTTGTGGCACTGCAGTCGGCTACTGGGCAAGTCAATGTTGGCAAAGGTCTGCAGAGCTGAGTGCTTTAACATTGGGCCTTAAGCATGTCAGGATGCCGGGAGCTTCAAAGCATCGTTCGAGACCTTCCGGGAGTGACCAGGATGTAATTATCAACTCGTCAAGACATCCCAGAGCACAAGTGCGGCAGTCTAAACCTTGAGCAGGTCAGGTTAAGCAGAATTTGTTGCATGTTCGTCCTGCAACTTTGGTAGGTTTCAGCACATTGGTGCCATCCCACAATGCAGGGTCACGGCACAAGGACAGGGGCCTTCAACGAGAGCACCGTGCCCCAGGCGGCCTCGCAGTTGGTTTGGGCCACGGTGCAGTGGCTCTTTGCTTCGGCAGCTCGCCAG